AGTCAAAAAGTCACCAGCTGAGTACGAATTCAAAAAGGGGGTCTGACGTTGCAGCAACTGTCACGTGTCACAAAACTAGGGTTCACCTCTAACACAGCCTCTCTGCAGTCCTCTTTAGTAGTTGCGTTGTATGCACGCACACGCACAGCACCATCTTCGGGCCATCTGTGGAAGCAGCAACGCGCGAATCAGATTCTGGATCCACCGAGCCTGGCCCGTCGTTACGGCGAACAACTGCAGAACCTTCATCCAAGAGCGGTGGATCCCATGCAAGGTTGGCTCCGAATTTTCACACGTCAAGAGCTAAGCCATAAGCAAGCCAGACTTGCCGAATCGGCTTTACTAGAACTCACGCAACGTTCAGTAGACCGCACGCTGATGGGAGGTTCATAGTCTAGAGAGCAGTAGTCTAAAGCGTCACTGTCCATTGGATCGGCGTTCTCGCCGTGCAGGGTTGCGGTCCTTGTGCGTTAGAGAATACAAGTGGGGCTCGCGAGCTGCGACGCAAGCGAAGGGTCGCAACGTGAGAAGCAGATCGCAGTGGGAGCAGGCTATGTACACGGAACGACGAGGCGAGCCCCTATAGAAGCAGGGTCCTTGGCTTCTCGAGGATCTCAAAGATCCATAAGGGCACGGCGCGTCGGCGACGTGCTGGTGGAGGTCGACGTTGTAAGGCCGGTTCCTCGGCATTGAGAGCTGCAAGAAGGGTCGGCCACGCCGCGTCAGCCGTCAGTTCAAGCGCACAATACTTGGCAATGAGATACGCACAAAGCAGGGATGCAGGTCAGGTAACGACACCAAGAGCAGGCTTTGCTGGGGTCCTCCGAATTGGCAGTGACGCCAATGCCAATGACTGAGTAGATACTCGGTGCTAATCAGCTTGGCTGTCTAGAGGAGAGAGAGAGAGCAGCGCAGGACTCACAAAATCCGATGAGCAGGCCAAGACCAATGACTCGACACACCCAAATGATGATGCGATGTTTCTTTGTGAGATGGATACTCGGGCAGACGGCCATGCCTCCCAAGGTCCCGACAACAAATCCGCCAATATGCGCCCAATTGTCCAGACCAGGCAGCAGGCCGATACCAAATCCAATTGCCGCGAAGACCAGAGACATTACCAGACGAGTCTTCGCTCTGTACTCGTGCGCCCAATTATAGACGAGGTCCACCAATTCGACGCTGATGCAGGTGTAGATGGCACCAGAAGCGCCTACACTTGGGATGCCAGGCAGCGAAAAGCTGGCGCCTAGCAGATTGCCGCCAATACCGCCTGCGATATAGAGGATGGCGTAGAGCGGCGTCGAGAGCAGCTTCTCGATCTGACAGCACAGCGTTAGCTGGACCAAGAGATTGAAGATGATGTCTAAGGCGAGAGCAAAAGACAATGGCGCTGTTAGGTCACGCCTCGCCGAGTGAACATTGAACCCTTTGCAACTTACGAATGAAGCCAGCATGGAGAAACTACGACGCAAAAGCAAGCATGTTAGCTATGTGGTGCGCGCGATCATCGTCCCGTCAAGGGCTCACGATAGGTGTCACGTAGCGATAACTCTGCCCAACAGTGTCGGCATCAGGCAAGCCGCACAGCTGCCAAATAGGACAGAGCTGATCTTGCGTGTAGGAATTGGCGTCTTGCGTGAGTTGATTCAAACAAGGAAGCTGCGTAGAGGTCGGGACGCTGGCGACTCTCCGCATGCATGGAACGAAGCGAGCGCCAAACGAGATCAGAAATTCAAAGGGAGGTCCCAGCATTGGATTCCATTGCGGCTGGGTGGGTGAGAATCGGTGATTGAGCTTCCGGTCTCTGCTATGAGCTCGCCAGCGAGCGCACTCACCTTGGTCTGGATGGCTTGACCCGTGGCGCTCTTCGCCTTGATGAGCTCGACAATGAACACCGCGACGTAGACAATTCTACGAGCACAAGCACACGGCGACTCGCGTAAGGGCTGCGCTCAAAAGAAAGTAGGCTCGACGCGACCGGTGGAGTACTCACGCAAGGATCCAGCTAAGTATGGGCCACCGCTGACGGCCCACGCCTTTTCTCCGGCGCTCAATCTGCTCTTCAACAGATCCGCCCCAGCCTGCGCCTACTTTGCCAATGCGTCCGAGTAGTCCCCTCTCCTCGATATCGCCATCTTTGCCGCGCGGCGGCGGTGGCATAGCGTTACTGAACAAGGCTGGCCCATGGGCAGCAACACTCTTGTCTTCGTAGCCGTAACCTCCGCCATCCCTCATCTGCCTGTATTCGTCGTCTTCGTCCTCTGCATATCCCATTGCACCTGCGTGGTGCCTCAGCGGTAAAGCTTGAGTGCTGGATCCGTAAGCCCCATGCGCAGCTGCAAAATCATCGACGGAAGCTTGCGAAGCATGGTAGCCATGGCCTCCGTAGCCCCGATCGGCATGGTAGCTGTCGTCGTAATCATAGCCCTGATTGCCGTACGGTGCGGGGACGGCAGGAACAGGCGGTGCATCAGAGTGCGCCTGACTTC